AGTTAGTTTTTTAAAATTCAAAATGGCGGATCAAATATGGCGGATGGAATATTTGAAAAATCGATAAAATGGCCGAAATTTTGTTGCTTGGGGGTTTTTTAGGTTTAAATGTTTGAAAAAAATATATTAACCCTCATGAGTAAACATGATTCAAAAATTATAAAGTTAAGAAACTGTTTATTTAATTTAACTTAATTTATTTTCTAGAACCATGAATGCTGTCAAAAATGTTGAAGAACTGAAGAAGAAAAAAAGAAAAGAAGCTGCTAGAATTCGAAGGTTGCAAATTAAAAACGATCCTTTAAAATATGAAGAGTCAAAAAGAAAGGATAGAGATCGAAAAAATGCGCGGAAAAAATCTGTCAAAAATCTGTCAGAAAAAAATCAGGTGCAGCAGAGATTAAAATGAAAAAAAAAATTATTACAAAAGAAAGGAAAAGAATCGTGAAAAGAAGAAAATAGAATCTTCCGAGAAAGATGGTAGGGTTATTCCAGGAAAAAAAACGCGACGGAAAAATACATTTAATCTACAAAAAAAATCAAATTGCTAGAACAAAAATTAAAACATCGGGACAGACAAGTTAATCGATATCGGATGAAGTTAAAAAGAACGATGGAAAAAGAAAGAACTAAAATCGAAAAGATGAATAAAAATTCTCCAGAAATAATTGTAAAAATTTAATTAAAGGTCAAAATGTTTCACAAGCAGTCAAAGATAATTTGCTCCTTGGAGAAGTAATGAAATCTCAATTAAAAGAAAATTTTCAACAACTTGGGAGACAAAAAGATAAAAAAAAATTTTGCGAATTAATATCTGGTAAAACTGTCAAAAAATATAAAAAATTACATCTCGTAACAGATTTAACTTCCAGAGGATTTATGCGTTTTAAAAAAAAGGGATCAAAATATTACCAACATTGGAAGCTGGTTAAACAGAAGGTAACTTCATTTTTTGGAAGTGACGAGAGTAGCCGCCTTTGCCTTGGAAAAAAAGATTTTATCTCTAGGAAGAGAATTAAGAAACAAAAAAGATATTTAAATAATTGTATGAAAGTTTTACACAAGAAATTTCCTGCAAGGCACTTAAATTTGAAAATTGGCTATTCAACTTTTTGTCGTCTTAAACCATTCTGGGTTGTTCCTCCTGCTGTCTCTAATAGGGACACTACTATGTGTATAATGCACTCTAATGTGGGTTTAATGACTTCAAGATTAAAATTAGCTAACATCATCGGAGAAAATTCACCTGAAGATATTTGTACAAGTTTATGTTGCGAAAACATAAAAGACGAATGTCTTGAAAGAACTTGCAGTGAATGCAAAAATAGAAAACTAATACCAAAGGGTAATTTCGTTAAAGAAGATAATATATATTATGAAAAGTGGACTTCTACTACAAATAAAATTATTGTCAACGGTGTTGAAAAGTTAAGTAGAAGAACAGTTAAAGAAAAACTTCTTACTACGAAAGGAGAACTTTTCACATCTCTCGAAAAATCAATAAAGTTATTTTTCTTTCATGTTCGAAACGTGCAACATCAATATCAAGCCATATATGTGATAAAAAACAATTTTAAATTTAATGAGGTACTCATCCACATCGACTTTTCAGAAAATTTTTTGTGCAAATATTCTGAAGAAATTCAGGCTATTCACTTTGGTGGTTCTAAATCGCAGCTAAGTTTACATACGGTTGTTGTTTACCACAAAGATTATGAACCGATATGTATATGCACTGTTTCTGATAACCTTCGCCACGATCCAGTTGCAATTTGCGCCCACCTTCAGCCAGTTCTAGAAAAAGTGAAAGAACTCATTTCGAACTTGGACGTTGTTCACATTCTGAGTGATGGTCCTTCCACACAGTACAAAAATAAAAAAATGTTCCATCTCATTGGGACATATTTGTCTAAAGAAATAGGAGCAAATTCTATCCACTGGCAATATAGCGAGACAGGTCATGGAAAAGGCGCCCCTGATGGTGTTGGAGGCTGCATAAAAAGAACTGCAGATTCTTTAGTTGCTGCGGGAAAAGACATTCCTAACTTGACAACATTTATAAATGAAGTTTCGCCACGCTGTCCAGGGATTCACATCCATAAATTGGATACAAATCTTATTCCAAAAATTGAAAAGTACGTGCCTGAAACCCTGAAATGTTTTAAAGGTACTCAGAAAATACAAGAAATAATTTGGAATAAAAATTCTCCTGTTCTGCAACTTCGATCTCTTACATGCATTCAATGCTCATCAACGGAAATTTGTTCTCATTACGCATTGGGAGAAATAAATTTTTTACAATTTAGTCACAATGACAACGTTTCGCAATTGATGTCTCACGATCTACCACTTTCGATTTCAACTTAGTATAGTCCTCCTCTTCACATAGAAATAGTTATTTCAGTGTTTTTGAAACTTTTTTTTTTTTAATTATAATTCAGAATTTGTCCTTTTTGAGAGATTTACCCTTAAAGAACGATATCACGAGATCTAAAAAAGTCTCCAGGATGATTTTTTTTAAATTAAAGATAAAATAAAAAGGAATATTATAAAAAAATTAAAAAAAAGAGGTCGAAATTGAAAAAAAATCTAAAAGAAATTTTGTTTTTTACTTTTTTCTATTTAAATAACAAAATTTTATTTTTATTTTAAAATTTTCTGAAAATACGTAATTTTCTGAAAAAAATCGTTTTTGATTCATTAAAATCGGTTGAAAGTTGACCGAGATATAAAGGAAAGACAAAAATGCAGTGTCAAAATTAAAAGTGATATAACTCCTACAATTTTAGATATTTTAAAAATTCCTTTTACTTACACATTGCTCTTATATAAAGCTATAATTTTACCAAGTATCATTAAAATCGAAGAACCACTTGTAGATTCTGATATTTCTGTCGTGGACTTACCCAATACTTTGATAATAAAACTCAATTGTCAGCATAATGCGATGGGAACGCATTGTAGAAGTTAGTGAATGGGAATGTTGCGAGATTGTTAACAAAAATTGCGGTAACGTTCTGAACGCATTGAACGTTGCCACATTAGAAATTGGACTTCTTACGAATTATGGGAAATGATAGTTAAAACAAATCTACGCGATGAGCTTTTTCCTTGAACGTAATTCTTCAGCTTCCGATTCTTTCTTACTCCACCCCTTTTTATTACGTATTCTGGGCCTAACAATCTTACATGCCCATGACAACACAACATCAAAGTTGTAATTGTCGCAAATGAAAAAGGGGTAAAAATACCCAAAATCAAAACATTTTCCAACAAGGAAAATTCATAAAATAAATCCAAAGGCAACAAGTCTTTCAATAATAATTTATGCTTGATTTTATTAAGAGCATATTTTTGTATTTGGCTATAACTATTAACAGAAAACGAAAACTCAGCATTATTGGCATAGTAACAGACCCAGAGCTCACGCCTTATTCACGTGTTAAAAACCCTTAGTCCATAAAATTTTCCCACCTGAAGTCTCTAAACGTTCATATAAAAGACCATCGCGGAAGTCAATTAATTGCAGTACAACTCTCATTCGCGAGTCAGCTCTGAAATTTTTCAGAGGCATAAAAACGATTTTGAGACGCCGGGGCTAAGCCCGTCCGTGAGTCGGATTTTCAATTTTTGCAATCCACTACATAGATAGTGATTAAAATTAGACGGATGAAAATATAAAGTGAATACTTCACGCCGACGAAATCCAACGGAAGTCGTCTTTAATAAAAATCCAATAATTTGAATAAAATCAAATTATTAAATTTTTGTCTTTTTGACCGGCCAGTCCGCACGTGTGGTGCCTGCGCTCTTTAGATTCGGTGGACCCGTAAGTGCATTCTTGTGCGCTACCATTTGACATTTTCGCGCTTTAATAAGTGTGTACATTTTTCCGCCCGTCGGATAGCAGCTCGACGCCTCGCCCTCGTTAGCTTGCGACGGTATCATAAGCAGTAGAGTAAGTTTTTAAATATGTATCGTTCCTTCTTATCTTACTGTATTATTTTTATATTTTAAAGTTGAGCTTTCTTTTGATAAAATAAATGTATTAAAGGGTCTTAATTGTTTTATTGTGTTTTATCCCTTAAATTTATTCTCTAAAAACGTAACTTGGCAGTTTCTTTTAAAATAGGATACACGATCCCATAAAATAAACGGAATTTTTTTTATTTTCGGCAGCTTGGTGCCTCCAGGACATAAGAGATAATAATTTTTATAATTAATATTTTTCGGTTCGTAACAATCGAATTCGTGATCAGTGACCCCAAAAATCCTAGAGTAATCAGTTTAATTTAAATTCATTTCTTACAATTTTATTGAAGATTAATTTTAAAAAAAATTCCAAAAACGATTGAGATTTGTAGGCTTTAAACTGTTTTAAATCCTACTTTTTCATTTTACACCACTGTGACGGGTGGTGCACGGCGCAAAAAATTCAAAATCTCCGGTTATAATCGGAAATACAAATTTTTTTCATGAATATAAAGACAAGAGTCCAAGGAATGTTACATAAAAATTTCATTATAATCCTTGCTATAGAAAGTATAAAAAATATAAATTGTTTATAAAATTGTAATTAAAAATTAAAAATGTTTGAAATTTTTTTTTTCACAATTAAGTTTATTTAAAAGAGTGGATATTCATTGACTACGTAAAAAATTGCCAATAATTTATAGCAAACGAAATTTGAATGTTTTTTTTAATGATGCAAAAATTTGTTATTGAAAAGAAAGTTTATAAAAATTTAAAATTTTGAAAAACGGTTTAAAGTGTTTTTTTCTTGTTTGTTGTGAGCTACAGATTTTCATAATTGCTTTTATTTTTACAAAAATTTATAAAATTTTTAATTACGATGGACGTGTTTTGACTCATCGACTTTGATCTACCCTTAAATTGTAAATAAATCAAGTATTTTTATTAAATTTAAAAAAAATATGTTATAATAAAACTCTACAAAACATAACATAAATAAATTAATTAATAAGAGATTTTTTACATACCGGCATAATACATTGCGCAATTTCTCGTTATTATTATCGCAGCCAATGTCACAAATTCTTTCTAAAAGTCGTATCAGCACCTCAGTAAATTTATTGTCAAGAAAACTAATTTTCTCTTCAAAACTTGTTCCATCTGCACTTGAAGATATACTCATATCCATCTGTTAATTAATAAATTAAGAGTATAGTACAGTATTTAAAAAATGGTTATAAATAAATTTCAAAAGTATTATAAAATAAAAGTAATTAAATAAAAATTAATAAAAGTATTACATAAATTACGCTACATTATTGCAATTAATTGATAAACAAAATGTCTATAAGATTAATGATAAAAAATATCTCTCAGCGGAAGCATTTAGTCGTTGTGCAATGATTCACTGCATAGAGAATCAAAAAAATGTTTCTGTTCAGAAAATAAATAATTTTTGTGAATTAATTACAGCAAGACCTAATAATTTCAAAATGTGAAATTGCAAAAAATCTCTTAATTGCAAGTCAGCTTTATTTCAAATATCTACTTCATTTAGAATTAATTTTCTACGAATCGACATTTGATGGAATTCTCAAATAAACCGATTACCAATTAATAGCAACTACCCTTTGAAAATCGCATAAACAGTTTTTATAGCAAATAACAATTCGTATAAACAAACATTAGTTTAAACAGGCCTCAGAATCGAACTACGACAAATTTTCAAAATTTTCATTAAGTGAGACAAATTTTTAAAAAAAGGAAGTTCCATTTTAAAAATTTTTTTAAGTATGATTTAAACAATTTATTGGAATTTTAAATTTTTGTATAATTTTTAGTTTTACTGGTCAAAAAGAAGTTTCAGAATAAATGAATTTCAAAAAAATTTTGTTAAATTTCAGACATAAATTAAATTTTACAGAATTGGAAATAATTTTAAAAAACCTTTTTTAAAGGTAATTGAATTTTTAAAGATTTATTTATTCAGATTTTTGAAAGTAATTGAATCTCAAGTGATTTTTATTTAAATTTTTGTTAATTTCGGTTGCTGAAGAATTTATTAGAAATTACAGACAAAGTGGAACTTTAAAATTTTTTTTAATTAAATTAATTAAAATTTTCAGAAAGAATTGAATTTCAAAATATTTTGTTAAATTTCAGACAAAAATTAAAATTTACAGAATTGAAAATAGTTTGTCAAATAATTTTAGGTGACATTTTTTAAAAATAATTAAATTTTGAAAGGTTTACGATTCAGATTTTTAAAAATAATTGAACTTCAAGTGATTTTTTAAATGAAATTTTTGGTGATCTTGTTTGCTGATTATATTAAAAATTTAAACATTTATTGAATTTCATGAAATTTTTAATTCAAATGTAGTTTAAGATAATTGAATTTGTAAAGAATTACATTAAAATTATTGAAAATAATTAATTTAGAAAAGAATTTTAGTTAAAAAATTTATTAAATAATTGAAATAAAGAAGATCTAAAGAAGATCTGCATTGTATAATAAAAAGACGTATTTTGTTTAAAAATTTTGTAAAAATTGTAAAAAAAAAAATGTCAAAAAAGTCGCATCTTAGCAAAAGAAAACAAAAAAAGTCGTACAACCCGAGGCTTGTTTAAATGATAATTATAACAAATAGACAGTAATGTTTAATAGAAATTCTGTATAATAAAAATGATTGATAATTATGACAATTAGAATGTTAGATAAATGTTCCTGCAATTTAAGAAGCCTTATTTTAATTTTTAAATACCGAAACTTTTGCATCTTATAAAACAATCCTAAAAACATAATTTCGTTTTTATATAGAAATTTCATAAAAAATGTCTACCAAAAAAGACAAAAAAAAAGTTTATAATTTTTCCATTCAAAAATACTGATATTACAAAAATTTAAATAACATGCAATGTTTCGACCTAATATTTTTTTTAAACACTCCCCTGTTTTTCTGTTTTAGAATCCATGCAATAACACTTCGGTAATAACGAGTAAAAATTTCAAATGCTAATTAGCTTGCAAATTTACACAAAGATTTTTAATATTATAAAACAATTTATACCATAAAAATCTTAGAAATCTACCTTCTTACAGCTCTGTTAAAAATAAAAATGTTGAAACAAATTCTATCCGACAGTAAAAATATAATATATATTCTGAAATTTCTTATAGACAATGACCATTAAGAAATTTGAAGATAATACACATGAAATGATAAAATAAAATAGATGCACAAAATCTGGTAACTGCGACATTCCATTTCTACTGTTGATGTTCAATGAAACCTTCTTTTTAGAAGAATGAAATAAATAAGTACATTTTTTTTAAATGAGAATTTAAAGAAATCTATTTCTAACTCATGCTCACAGAGAATTAATGAAAAAAAAATTGAAATTCTACAAAAATAATTGTTGATTCAGAACTAAAAGATGTGATAATGATAATTTCTGCGACATGAGAAGTAATTCATCTAATGCATTTAAATCATTATTCATTGTCGAAATGTGACGATGAACACTTAAGATTTTGTAAGAATTCACCTCAGGTTCAGAGGTGTCATCATGGCAGGAACCCATCATCGAAGTCAATTCAGCATCGACAAAGTAGCGGCTCATATGCTTAGCAAGATTTTAAATTTAAAAGCAAATATATTTTTCCGAAAAATTATAAGTCTTAGTTTTAATTAGCTTAAGTGAAATTAGTTTCTATTTTGAAAAATATTTAAATTGTTCCTCCTTTTGAAGAAACATATAAAATATAAATTACTTTACATATTTCATAAGAGACAATTTTCCAAGTTAGTAAATATTACATTTTTTTTTGTAAACTTCATGTGTTTTACATTTAAAAAAAAAGTTCTTTTTACCATATGAATAATGTAATTTTTACAATACAAAAAATTGTTTACTGGAATTAATAGTACCAATTAATAATATTCTTAGAAGGCTGAAATTAAACAAATATATATACATTTGTAAAATGAAAAAAAATTCTTAAATATTTTACCTGCATAAATTCACAAAATTCCACACAAGTAGCGCATATTCCAGTTATGCAAGTTAACAAATCAGGATCAGTGAGCATACATTCCCTCAAACAACTGTCTTGCAGATCTTGATGTACACTTAATACATCATCAACATTAGTGACCTAGAGAAAAAGGAAAAAAAACAGTTGAATAAGTGGGCAAAAAGTAAAAGAGTAAAATCTGGACGCGTGAATATTCCCTTCATTAGACTTGCCGGAATTTTTTTAGTGCCGAATTAAAAATTATCGAATTTACATTTAGTAGAATTTTAAAAAAGTAGATTTTATAATAGGGGAAGGTGGGGGAATTGGAGTCCCTTAAGGACAATGATTAAAAAAAACCAACTTATTGTTATAATAAAATATTGTTTTGGTCATTTTTTACTCCTTTTGTTATTTATCTTTAATTATAATTAATTAAGAATAAAGAATTAAGTTTGCAAAAAAACATGTTTTTTAAAAAAATGCATTTTCTCCCATTATCCCAAAAAAATTTTTCATATAGTTTGCAAGTTTTTAGCCATGGTCCAAAATCCGTAAAATAAAAAAAAATTTTCCCATGGTTTCCAAGATTTTAGCAATGGCCCAAAATTAGTAAATTAAAAAAAAAAATTTTCCCATTGTTTGAAAGATTTTAGCAATGGTTAAAAATCCGTAAAATTAAAAAAAATTTCCTATGGGAAATTGTACCATGGGAAACGGACATAAGCAATGGTTTTTGAGATTTTTGCCAAGGTTTAAACCATGGGTCTAATCGTATTTACCTTGGCAATCGATTTCGCCCATGGTTTTTATGATTTTACCCATGGTTCCATTTCCACGCGGGTATTATATTAAATGAAAATTCGAGCAAATAAAAAATCTGCTTTTTCACAGTTCAGTTAAATAGAAATTCTACAAAATCAGAATTTTGTTAAATAGAAATTTTTCGTTATTAAAATTTGGCTTATTATAAAATCTGCTTTTTTAAAATTCTACTGAATGTAAATTTGCTAATTTTTAATTCGACACCACAAAAATTCCATAAACTCTAATGAAGGGAATATTCATGCGCACCGTAAAATCATCTCTTTAATCAACTTACTTTGCTCATTTTATTTAAAAATAAATGCCAGTTAGGTTCAATTACTTCGACCATCATATAATATTCCAAATGTTGAATGCAGTCCAACATTCGCTGCCTAACAGAAAAAGCTTGTCGATACGCCATTGCTGCCTCATGAGTAAAAGTCTTCGCAATTTTGTTACTGATCCACACTCTATAAATATAATTAATTTTTCCTTTACATATATACAATTTTATAAAAAACGAACATAGTTGTTTGAATCTCAGTTTAAACCAATCGCTTGAAATTTTATTAAGAATTTTGTTTCTATAATTTTTTTTAACACAAGCCTCGGATTGTTCAACTTTTTCTGATTTTTTTTTCAAAAATACGACTTTCTTCGATAAGACATGACTTTTCGACACTTTTTACAAAATTTTAAAACAAAATACGTCATTTTTGGTATACAATTGCCAATAAAGAAGATTCTTATATTGTTACAAATAGTAACTGTGGTGTCGTGAGAATAAATACACAATTATTTAATATCAAAGGAACATATTTAATATAGAGTTTAGATATAAGAAAACGAACTGCTTACATAAGATCTCAGAATATACTGATATCTATGAGTGTCCACTCAAAGTCCCCCCCTTTCTCTATAGGTAGTGACCCCATACGGGCTTATGTGTAACTATATTACATTCCTTCCCATTAAAGTTTAGAAAAAAAACAATTATTTTTAAATCCCCAATCTAATAATGGGTTTAATCATTCTTTTCGGTCTCTGGTTAATATTTAAATAAGTCTTTTTATTGACTTGAGATTCCTTGAGAATTTCACTTTGCACTTTAGTCGTAGAATTAAAACTTTTTCTCGAAACCGATTTTGGCGAATGATTTACCGAATCACTACTGGAATTAACACTTTGATCATTGACGATTTTTGAACACGGCACTGGAGAATCGAATTTCGCGGATGATTCATGGGATTGGTCGTCTCGATGAACTTCTTCCCTCTCAGGTTGGATGATGTCATCTTCTTGAGAAATCTCGGGACTCGTTGATTTTGACTCATCAGACTTGGGTGAATCTGATTTGATGATCTGATCTGTGTGCCGTTTCCAAACAAGTTCTGGATCAGCTGACTCAGGATGACAAAGAAACGTTCTGTCACCCAGGATCTCTTTGATCGTTGCTGAAGACCATGATCGTTTGACTTTCTGAAGCTGAATCTGCTCTTTTCGATCTGAGCAAATCTATACGATTTCGCAATTCTCTTCCCAAGAATCTTTTGGCAGGTGAAATCCCCGTTGAGCAATGTGGTGCGTTTCTATAGGCGAATAGATACTTGATGACAGCGGTTTTCACGTTCGTTGATGTGACTTCATGATTGTGAAGAGCCTTGCTGATTCCCTTCTTGAAACTGCCCACTGCATTCTCAGCCAATCCATTTGTTGATGGATGATATGGAGCTGTTGTCCTATGGGTGATTCCATTCATTTTGCAAAAATTCTCGAATTCCTCGGAGATCAGTTGTCGACCATTGTCAGAGATGAGAATCCTTGGAATCCCAAATCGCGAAAAGATTTCCCGCAATACATCGATGGTTGATTTGGAATCAATGCTTTTCATCTCGATGACTTCTGGATATCTTGAAAAGGCGTCGATCAAGAGTAGGTACGTTCTTCCATGAAATGGACCCAAAAAATCCAAATGTACTCGTTCGAAAGGATATTCTGCTTCTTTGAATTTGATTAGTTCGGCTTTTTCCGGACTCTTAGCTTGAGATTTGCATGAAGAACAACTCTTTCCAAAATTCTCGATGTCCAAGTCTAAATTGGGCCACCAGAAATATTGCCGAGCCAATGACTTCATTTTAGCGATCCCGATGTGACCACTGTGAATTTCCTCTAGCAGACTGGATCTGAATTTCGTTGGAATTATCACGCGATATCCCCACATGAGAAGATTTTCGTCTATACTGAGCTCGTTTGCTCTTGTTGAAAAAGGTTTCAACTCAGGGTCGACTTTGGCGGGCCAACCATTTCGCACGAAGAGAAAAGCTTTGCTTAGCACTGGATCTTTGCGAAGTTGAATTCTCAAATCCTTGGCATTGATGGGAAGTTTTTCCTCCACTATGAAGTTGAAGTAATCTTTTGATTCTTCCACCGGTGAAATCACTGGTCTGGGTAATCTTGATAACCCGTCGGCAGCACAGTTGTCCTCCCCTTTCAAATATTGAAGAGTATAATCGAAGCAAGACAAGAATAGTGCCCAACGTTGCAATCTTCCTGCAGCCATCTGCGGAATTCCCCTTTGCTCACCGAAGAGCGCGAGCAAAGGTTTGTGATCTGAGCACAAAATAAATTTATTACCTATCAAGTACTGATAGAATTTTTGTACTGACCAGTAAATTGCTAATGCTTCTTTGTGAATAACGGAATAATTTTTTTCCGAATTTCATAGTACGCGAGAAGCAAATGCTACAGGTTTTTCCTCACCGTTGGGAAAAACGTGGAATAGAACTGCACCGAGTCCGTCTTTAGAAACGTCGCAGACCAATTTGATTTCAAGATCTGGATTGAAATGCACAAGACATTGTTCTGAGGCTATTTCCAATTTAGCCTGTTTGAAAATTTCTTCGTCTTTGACAGTCCAGGAAAATTTGGGTTGATTGGCCAATTCGTAGAGAGGTTTGAGCAGCTGACTGCTGTTTGGAACGAATTTTGCATAGTAGTTGAACATCCCAAGAAAGGCTTTCAATTCCGTTGCGTTCTCAGGTGCTCTGGCTTCCATAATAGCAGCAACCTTCTCTGGATCCTTGCGAAGATCTTGGCAATCGATAATGTGACCCAAATATCGGACTTCGTTCTGGAAAAATTTACATTTTTTAAAATTTAATTTGAAACCAGCATTAAATAATCTTTTGAAAACTTCTTGCAGATTACGCAAATGCTCCTCAGCTGTTTTTCCAGTAACGACTACATCGTCGCAGAAGATAGCTACGCCAGGAATTCCTTGGAGAGTTTTCTCGATGATTCTCTGAAAAATGGCTGTAGCAGTTTTCGGGCCGAAGGGGATTCGATTTACCTTGTAGATTCCTTTGTGAGTACTCCATGCTAGGAGTCTTGACGTTTCCTCGGTGACTTCAAGTTGATTGAAGGCCTTTGCCATGTCGAGTTTGGTGAATTTTTTTCCGCCTGATAACAAGGCAAAAAGTTCCTCAATTCTGGGAGTAGGATATTTTACATCCTCCAAGGCTTTGTTTATCGTTACTTTGTAGTCTGAACAAATTCGAAGTCCACCATCTTTTTGTAATACAGGCACTAAAGGTGTTCCCCATTCTGCGTTGTCTATAGGCTCGATTTTTCCTTGTTTTTCCATTTCATCCAGTTGTCGATCCATCTCCGGTTTGAATGCGATAGGAACTGGTCGAGGTTTGTGAAAAATGGGTTTGAAGTCCGGTTTGACTTTCATTTCAACTTTTTCGTATTTATATTTTCCGGGAGTTTCTTCGAAGAGTGGCTCATATCGTTGTAATATGCTTTGTAGACTTTCGTTTGGGTCGATTTTGTTTACTTGTGTCACCTGATATCCGAGATGAGTCATCAAGTCTCTGCCGACCAACATTCTACATCCTCCCTTGACAACCAGTAGATTTGCCGTAACACTTTTGTGTCCAGCCGCGATTTTAACAGAAATTTCACAGAGCGGGTGAATCACTGCTCCATTGTACATTCTAAGCGTTGTTTTGACTGGTTTCAATTTACATTTGGAGAGTCGAGTTCGATATACCGCTTCAGGAATGACGGACCTACCAGCTCCGGAATCAATCTCCGCCCTGATTTGTTCTTCACCGATGAAAATGTCCACCCTAATCGGTTCACTGCTCCCCTCCAGCGAGTAGAGATTTTCGCAATCGAGCACGGTTTCGTTATCTTCGACTAAAAAATTTTGAGAATCTCGATTTTCACCCGACTTGCAAATTTTCGCTAAATGTCCCGTTTTATGACATTTATTGCACTTAAAACTTTTATATTTACAGTTTTTGAAATTGTAATTATTTCCACCACAATGTTTACAAGATGCGTTACTTGTATTGTTCTTATTAGTCATTTTATTTCCGGAATTATTTTTGTTTTTCGAATTGTCTTTTGTATAAACACTTTGGTTTCCTTTGACATTTACGTTGAAAACTAAATTTTCGCGTTTCGAATTTAAAACCGAAGCTTCTTTTTTTCTTGCGATTTCTAAAATTTCCGTTAGTGTTTTGGTGTGATCTTCTTCGCATACCCTATCTAAGACAGCACCTTTTCGAAGACCTGTCACTAATTTGTCTTTAATAACACTTTCCAATAAGGCACCAAATTCACAAGTCGCGGCTCTATTTTTAATACGGATAAACCATTCGTTGACCGTTTCTTGATCATTTTGTTTGAGCTCGTAAAACTCCGTTCGTTCGCGCAGTACTGATACGCGTTTCGAAAACTGGCTTTTCAATATAACACAAAGCTCATCGAATGTTTTACTAGACGGTAGATCTGGATCGCATAAATCTTTAAGAGATTTGTATGCATCCTGGCCTATAAGCGTAATTAACACTGCCACTTTTCGTTCCGGTTGCGTTACGTTGTTCGCAATAAAATATTGATTAAGACGATCTTGGTAAATTGTCCAATCTTCGCCGATTTGAAATTCACTCATGTGCCCGATAGTCGACATGAATGTTACGTTCGGCGTCGCGTTTCCCGGAATTTGCGGCATGTCGTACGCGTTCCCCGGCGCTTGTGACGTCATGGCGTTCGCGTTCCCCGACGCCCGTGATGTCATGGCGTCACGGTGATCCATATTTTCGTGTGGATTTGCTTAGTTAATCTGAGATTCAAACCTATTTGCCTTGTCTCGATGTTCGTTCCTCTCAGTCCTAAGTCTGTTGATGATTTCCTGTTGATGTTCGTATCTCGCGGCAGCTTCCGCAATTTTCGCTTTATATTCGTCCAAAGACATGTCCTTCGCCATTTTGAATGGAGAGTATGCCCGATCGATTCACAAGTAGACGCGCACTTTCTTTATACCGAATATTGTATTATTTTTGGTTAAACAACACCTTAGAAATCCTCGTCGCCAATATGTGGTGTCGTGAGAATAAATACACAATTATTTAATATCAAAGGAACATATTTAATATAGAGTTTAGATATAAGAAAACGAACTGCTTACATAAGATCTCAGAATATACTGATATGTATGAGTGTCCACTCAAAGTCCCCCCCTTTCTCTATAGGTAGTGACCCCATACGGGCTTATGTGTAACTATATTACAGTAACAAAGTGTCTTTGCCATGATCTTCTTATGCAAAAAATCCCATCTATTTTTGGACTTGTTCTGATAACAATCTTGATTTTATTAGATATAATGATTCTACTCTTCCCCCGTAGATGCTTTTTCTCAAGGTCCAAAAAGAACTTTTTGAATGTCGCAAAAATCAGGTTAAACTTTTCTGTGATGATTGGCTAGATGCAAATAAATTGGCTGATTCGATTGATTTAAGAGTGGCAGGTTATTGAGTTTTTATTTTGAAAAGTTCTGTTTTTAAGAAGGGTTTTAATAGATATTTTCCCATTGGAAAATCAATCTCAGAAATAGTACAGGAATTAGTTCCTGAGTCTAGAGATAATCTTTTATCTGTTACAAGATGTTTGGTTAATGGTGTTGTTACTGATAAAATTGAATTTATTTTTTAATCGCAATTTGTCCCTCGTCATCTTTATGTAAAATATCTATCAATTATATCTATTTACGTTCCTTCTGCGAAAAGTATTCCTTATCTAGTTTGGATAAGTTTTCTGGAGTGTCTTCCTCGTCATATTCTTTGGATAATCTGAGGGGATTTCAACGCGGACTCTTTGTCGTGGGGTTCCAATTACGATTCTAAAAGGGGTTTGGATCTGTCTGGAGCATTTGAGATGTATGGTCTTATTGCTTTAAATGAACATATTCCGACTAGAAACGATTTGTCTGCTAGGACAAACAACAATTCAGATCTACTAATGCTTTCTGAATCAATTATTTTTCAAGCCTCCTTTGAGGTTTCTGAAGATTCTTATAATTCTGATCACTTGTTGGTTCTCGCTTCTTTTGATGTGCAACCAAGTTTCTGGTTTCGGAATCTAATAGGATTAATATTAAAAATGTGGATTGGATTAAACTTGATGAGGATTTGAGGGATCCACTAGGGATTATTGAGGGATCTCTGGATTCTGGTCTTCCTTCTAATAAAATTTATGATTTGTCTCTTATTGTCTCGGTTCTTGAAAGGAATGGGGCTTGTCGTCCAAAGAGTCATTCTGGTAGAAGGAAAGCTGAACTTATAAGGTGGGATAGTTTTCCTTTCCTTTTTCAAGGAAAGAATTTGATACCGCTTTTCTGAATTGTAAAAAGTCTTCCACTCCGGATTTGGATGGAGTTAGTTATGAGTTGATCGAAAAATTGCCGAAATGTGCTAGGGAATTTTTGTTTATAATCAAATGTTTTTTAAAATCTTCCTTTCCAAAAAAGTGGAGGGACACAAAGGTAATTTTTATTCCTAAACCGGAGGAATATTTTGCGTTAAGAGTTGTTTTGGGGTGTATGATTACAACTCCTATTAGTGTATTGTTATCTGAGTGTGATGAGCCTCCATTTTTTTCTTTGAGTAGTTGAAAATTAAACTAGGTTATATAGTATTTTTAAAAGTTAAAGAAAAGATTTAATCGTTACCTGCAGAGAAGTCTCTCGACGTGTTTGCAATAGAATAAATGTCTAAATAGCATTTGATAACAAGCTATAGCTTTTCTGTTGATAACCAATGAAACTGGCCACTTTAAATCGTAATTAAAGACAAACGCCTCTAATCCACTCAGCACTTTATCTGTTTGCATACAAAATTCTACAAGAAAAAAAAATTTAAATAAAAATGTTAATTTAATTTTTTCATTAAAAATAGACGATATAAATATTGTGTAATACCTTTTTCCTCGCTTGTTTGAATTAACAGTATCCTAAACATTTGATATTGAAGATCATAAGGAAGTAATTCTGGTTTTAAATCATCTTTATAAGGATCAGAATCTGCAGTCGACAAACGTAATGCAATTTCAAGAAGCGAAGCCAATCGATGAATTACAATGTCATCCATATTTTTGCTTAATTCTGCTTCACAAAGATTCATAAATTGAACAACAAAATCCCCTTGAGCGAGAAGAAAATAACTTTTTATACTTCGAAGTCGTCCCATTAAATCATTTTCTTGAATAAGAACTTCCAATAATGTTCTTGCCGCTTCAGAATAAGCTCTATCAATAATAGTGATGTACTTTTGATCTCGATGTTGATAAACCAGAGGTTCTTGCTTTCCATATTGAACAGTTTTTCCTAATTAAACAAAAGTGCAAAATTTTTTTTTAAATGACATTAAAAGATTAAAATGTATTTAAAAACATTTTCTTTTTACACTGGAACAACCGTTGTTTAGACTTTTTATTTTTTTAATAAATTATGATGGAAAATTTTTTTGACGTTAATTAATATAGATGTAGAATATCATTTATTTAAAACTAGCAAAATTAAACGCGCGCAAGCGCGCCAAATTGGATATGTAATTGTTTGTTATAAAGAAATTAATATTATCAATAATTATTTAAATTTATTACAATATTATTACATATTAAAAAAAAGTTAAATATTACGTCTAAATTACATATATGAGCCGCCGGATATTATAACGACACATAAAATTTCTACAGCGGTATTCGTTGGCCCCTGGCACATTAAAAATCAATTTTTAAAAATAAATTTTTTCAAATTACTATCATGTACGAAATTTCCTGGCGCATCTTTTTTCTTTTCATAAATTTTTTTGTATTTGTAACAGTTTTTGAGAAAAAAGCAAAAAACTAAATTTTTCTTAAAATCACTTTTAATCAAAATTTTTATGTTAATTCGTTATAAAATGTAAAGTTCTGAATATTTTTACATACAATTTACAGTATTTATGGTTTTAACTATCCTTTGAATGATCCTTAATAATAATTCATTTTTAATAGGGCTTTATATTTTTCAAAAGCTTAGTTTATCTAAGGGATTTTCTCTGAGGATAAACTTCCTCTGAATAAAATGTTTATTGATAATAAAAAAATGTTTATTAAAATAAAACTTTACAGAAATATTTATTGTGTATCAATAAACATTTTATTCAGAGAAAGTGTGTCTTGAAGGAAAATTTTCTATATAAACGAAGCGTTTAAAAAATATAAAGCCCTATTCTAATACTGAGCATCAAAAAAATTAATAACTTTTTTTCTAATTGAAAAATGAAGAATTATTATTAGGGATCATTTAAAGAATAGTTTAAACTATAACTCCTGTAAATTGTATGCAAAAATATTCAGAACTTTGCATTTTAGATCGAACTAAAGTGAAAATTTTAATTAAAAGTGATTTTATGAAAAATGTAGGTTTTTGCTTTTTTCTCAAAAACTGTTATGAGACGAATATAATTTTTGATCAGTCAAAATTAAAGAGTTTAATACGTTTCAAGTTCAAATAAGTAAAAGTAAAATTATATTCTCACCAGCGCAACCGGGTTCAAAGTTGCTGGGCTCTTTTATGAAAAATAAAATATTAAAATTTAAGCACGCGGACGCCAGTTAACTTAAATAAAATTAACAAATAATTATACGAGCAAAAGAAAGCAGGAACCGTTGGGGAACCCTCACAGAAAAATTAAAAAAAATAAAATGAAGCGACTTCCAGGAAATTTGTTTATTTTCAAAAATAAAAATCAGACATCAAACACTTACTTGAGTTGATCGAATATCGACTCTTCGTCGGTTTCAGTCGCAACATACAATTTGACGATATTATAAAATTTTTCGAATTTATTCCTTTGCAACACACTACAATTATCAAACGCACTACATTCAGAACGGTCGAACAAAGAGTGCGTGTACCGGCGATCTTTGACAATGCGTCCAATTAGTTAAATATTGGCGCTTAGATCGATCTGAGGTCGCAGGGGTGAACTATTGACCTCAGACTCCTTACTCTTATTTTAAGATAGTCGATCAACATAATTGTTTATTTCAACATATTCGAAATAATGTCAAGAATGATTTCCCCGTCACAGTTATAAATGCAAAAAAATTTATGATGAGAAAAAAGATGCGCCAGGAAATTTCGTACAAGATAGTAATTTGAAAAAATTGATCTTTAAGGTACCAGGGGCCAACGGATAACGCTGTAGAAATTTTATGTGTCGTTATAATATCCGGCGGCTCAATATTTAACATAGGCGGAATATTTATCTGAAAATTGCTTTAAATATTCCGCCTACAATAAATATATGTAATTTAGGCTCAATATACAACTTTAAAAAAAAAATTTCATTGATAAACGTTGTGTACTTCAGCTTCGTGAATTGACGCAACGTTTATGATAAACGATTTTTAAAGAAAAATTTTTTTTAAATGAAAAATTCTATAATTTTTTGCCTAAAAAATATTTATTGTAGTTTTCATTAATCAATAAATTATAAAAAAATATTTTTTAAGCAAAAAATTATAGACTTTTTATTTTAAACAATTATTTCTTAAAAAATTGTTTATCATAAACGTTGCGTACTTCAGCTTCGTGATCAACTTCAAGTTAGGACAGAAGGACAGACCAAGCATTTTATTATTATATAATAATAATTATTTCTTTTCCTTAAGCCTTAAAAAAATTTTTCTTAGTAAAACAAATTTTAATATAATAAAAATTTGATATTTACAAAAGAAACATTTTCGCTGTACATATTTAAAAAATTTATGAGTAAAGTAGAAAAGTAGACTGATAACCTTCATATGACTTTAAACAAATGAGTTAAACAATGATCTAAAGGAAGCAAAAATTGTGAACCATCTGTTTAAATAAAGTACTTATATATAATCGCTCTAGTAGGCTGAATAATACAACTTTATCCAAAAAATTTAACTATTGTAATTTCTGATACATCATAAAAATTTGTATAGAACGAAATTAAAAGAAATTTAATTAAAAAATATACAGGTATGATAGTGTGAATTTTAAAATATAAAATTGCAAGTTAGCACTATATTTTTTTAATCATAAAAATCAAAATTACAATAACACAGCCATAAAAATAAATCGAACTTTTTCCAAGGCAAACCGAAATATGATTTTCGAACGTATTTTGATGCGCTGAACACGAATCTGAAGTTCGATTTGATCCATCACGTCATCATTTTTTTCTAACCTCAAAAACATGTCTAATAAGTAGTCCTACAATTGCATCAGACAATTTGAATTTTTAAAATCTGACATCGGATTTGTGATCAGCGACCCCAATAAACCTTTAGATTCTGATTTGCATGAAAATTTAATATTTTTTTTAAACTTGTCCGCCATACTGTATGGAGCAAATCATACTTCATTTTCATATTCAGCGCATCAAAATACATCAGAAAATAATATTCCGGTTTGCCTTGGAAAAAGTTCGATTTTTTTTGTGGTCCTGTGTATAATAACAAACTATTTTAAAATAAATTTTTAAAAATACAAAAATTTTGTTTTTTTTACAGTAAAAAATAATTATAAAAATGGAAACGACAAATTTTATGACTCCTATGAACGTTGTGCAAACAATTTCAATGTTCAGTTATTTATCAACTCTCAGTGATTTTTTATTGGGTAAAAATTTATTAAATGTGACTAATCAATTTCAACCGATTCCAGTGATAAATGGTTTGTATCATTACTTGAACGACAATAATGGTGAAAATCAAACGATCATTATTGAACAACGAAAAATACAATTGGCTCGTAAACTTATTGAAGGCAGTGATTTATATGGAGCAAAAGAAAATGAAATTCCAGATGCAATTTTTGTTGATTCACTATACAAACATATAATTACCACACTTGTGTTTGAAAAGTATACAAATATTTATGGATTTCTCGTAGAAATTGTTCGTAATTCCAAGAATACAGAAATAAAGACAATACACGACAATATTTTGACGACATTAACAGAAGAAACATTTCTTAATGAAAATGGAAAATATTCCAAATTAGAGAGATTGTCAATTTTTGAAATTCTCAAAGATTTTATACATCCCTTATTTCTAAAAGTAACATCAAAAAATATTAATTTATTATCAATTGATTATATTTATGCTCAAGCTGGTTTAATGTTTCATTTGTCTGGAATTAATTTACCGTTATTAAAAGCAACTGAATTTAACGAAAATGAGGAAATTAATAGTACAATTCAATTTAATAAATACATCATTCTTGCACATGCTGTTGAACAATTAGTAATCTCTAAAAAATTGGATAAAAAAGTTCTGAGAATTTTTACACTTCCCGCTCTATTTTATTACACTTACAATAAAAAAGAGCTACTAAAAAATGTAAATATAGGAAATATAATGAATAATTCAACCACGACAATTAAAGCCTTCAACATGTTGTTTACGCACATAAATCAAACGTTTGTGAATTTAGAAAACGCTAAAAAGAATGATTACCGATATCAATTTTATTTGGCAAGGTCAAATTTTAAAAATCGTACAACACTGGCTAGGGAAATCATTAGAAGCAATTGTTCCACTGTCAAGAAAGAGGATTTGGAACACGAGGTGCTTAAATACGAAAATAATCCTGATAATTATCAATGTAATACTGCAGCAATGAAGTGGAAAAAATTAAAGAATTTAAATCGTCTTTATCAGGAAGAAATTAATAATATAACTAAGAAATATCTTGTCTATGAAAAGGAATCCATTAGGGAAGCTTTTGGTTCGGATTTTATTAAATCCATAGATGCTAACAAGGTAATAATATCCAAAGGTTTGTTAACATATGTTGTTGACATCAGAGCAGCACGCGAATTTCAGTGGGTAAAAGAATCAGACGATTTATTCAGGTTTGAGTTTATCAAAAATGAAACATCATTGTATTTTGCTATTTTGAGGGAGAACAATGAAATTATGGTAATGCAAGAGAATGGTGCTACTTCTAATTGTTCCACAACACCAAAAAATAATGTACTCCATTGTAATCCTGCAGTTTTTCGTGAAAAATTAGAAATGTCAAGACATCAGGACTTTCGAAATAATTATTTTCCTCAAGTTAAGAAACAAAAAGATGAGAGCTTTGAGAAATTTTTAAATCAGATTGCAGAGGAAAAAGCGAATAAATTTATGCAGAGCATCACACGTCTTGGATATGATCAAACGAGAATGGAATGGTGGAAAGATTTTGGATTATCCCTTCTTCCATTTTACACTTGTTATCATGGAATTAAAACTGAAAATCCAGAAGAGGAAAATGCATGTTTATATGATGCAATAGCACTTTTTCCACTTGTAGGAGATCTAGAATTTCTTTTGGAGAAATTCATAACAGTTACAACGAGATCTTTATTTTCAGCAGCAGGTACTACATTTGCGTCTTTAACCCTAAGGACATCCTGGCGAACAACATTGTCAGAAATAAGTACAATCTTATCAAACGAAGCTATAATATTTTCAGAATCATTTACAAAAGAAACATTCAAGAATTTAGGATTATCATTAATTCGTAGCATAGATCCTGGATTTGAACTTATTTATGACATTGGCCAAGAAGGATTGAGATCGATGAGAAATTTAATCAATGAACTTGGGAAATATTCTTCTTCCATCGAATCTTTAAATTCAATGTTACTGAAATATGAAGAAACAATATCAAATACATTTACTAAAGTTAGTAACAAATTCTCTGATAAGGATGTGTACGTAAATTCTTTGTCCAACAAAAATTCCGCCTATGGTTATAAATACATTCAGTTTTCTGATAACCAAGTTGTTCAGATTAGGCAAATTGAAGAATATGAAAATCGGGAAATGCCGGTTGTACTATTTCCAGATAAGAAAAATCTTTACTGGGTTTCTGATATAGAAAAGGGAAAAATTGGGGAAAATGTTTTGCATGTTAAAAACGAGCATATTCAAAATAAAAATCCTGAATTTCAAATACTCAGTTTCCACGACACTAGACTATGTGGGAGTGTACGTTTAAGAAGATCTCCAACGACTTGCATAAGAACTGTTTTGCAGAAGAACAGAGAAGAAGTGGAAAGAGAGGCTATGGATTTTGTTCGGAATCATGAAGAATTTTCAAATGTTGATGTGGGTGCCCAACTAAAGAAGTTCGTTTTTCCAGGTAATGGTGAAAAACAACTGGAATTCGTTAGAGATTGGAGAGAATTAATTAAGGAAGGAAAAAAGAATGTACCGGAATGGAGTAAAGAATACGAAATAGATAATCCAAATTTATTCGAACGTCTGATGTATTCCGATAAAATGGATGAGATAGTAATATCTGCTGAGGAAGCAAACTCTAGAATCAATTCAGTTGTCTCCCAAGACGCTTTAATGTTTCTCCCTCCAAATATTTTAAAAAATTATATATCAAAGAGGGCTTTTGAATCCCTCACTTTAGAGGATTTTGCTGCAATAACGAATTTCCAGACTATTGGATATACAAGAATTCAAAGTAATACAATCGAAGCGAAATCAATGAGAGCAGCTTTATACCGATTGGCCATTAGACAAATGGAGAATTCTGTTGAAGAATTTTCATCAATTCTATATAGAGGTGAAATTAGACCTCAAGATGTAGTCGACAAATTATTTCGTTCAGATAATAAGGAACTAAAATTGACACGATTTACATCTGCATCGACAAGCAAAGAAATTGCACTTGGATTTCAAAAAAGTAATGCAGATGGAGTTAATATTTTGTATGAAATTAAATTCTCTGGACCATACCCAGGAGCAAAATTAAACATGATGGGTTCATTTAACCATGAAATGGAAACAGTTCTATTACCGAATAGTAAATTTAATATAGATGAAGTATTACCTCAGAGAATTAATAACAAGGAGGTATTATTAGTTAAACTATCTTTTTCTCATGATATACCAAAACACACGCAGTATAAAATTATCATGAACGAGTTAAAAGAATTAAACAAAAGAGATGCAACTTTCATGGAAAAAATATGGTCTTCTTTTTGTTGCTCCTCACAAATATTTTTAAACATTGTGACGTAAAATTTACAATTTTACAAATCACAAAGGTTTATTTATTTTTCAATATATTAAATAACTTTGTTTATTATTCCCGAAAAAGATATTTCAATATCAAAAATTTACTAGACGAAATCACATTATAGATTCGAAAAATGGAAAAATCTTATTTAATAATAATTTAATATTAAGAATTAATGTCTGTAATTCCTTTTTATTTATGTACTTTCGAGACAATATTGAATATTTTGTATTGGTCAATCTAACTTCAATTTTGATGTCATCAATAATTGGATATTTTTGAAGTTTATTATCGATTATTTGGATATATTTTTATTATTAAAATTTGGATTCTTGAATATTCACTTTCAATGTACCCATTAATTGGATAATTAAGAGATGCCAAGTATTTTCACGTTCTATGCAAATATCACCATGAGAATATCATTGACTTCGTTTCCTGGCGAAACACTCAAAATTATTATGATTTTTGGAAGGCTTCTTTATATTTTTAAATTACTATTTAAAACTTCTATTGCTGCGGGTAGCCAAAGCCCATATGAAATATTTGATGTTTTGGATTTATGTCAATTTGAAGTTTGAAGATTTTTATTTGAATGTGGCATTATCTTTGTAAATTTCAATATTAATTCCGAATTCATTAATATTTATATTGGAGAAGAATTAAGGAGTTACCATCTTGCGTCGGATTAACGTATTAAAATCGTTAATCAAGAAGAAGTATTATTATTATTCAAGAAAACAATTTTTGTCAACAACATTTATTATGGAATTTAAATTTCGCACTTAATCAGTTTGGACCAATCAGCGTCAAGATTTAGATGAAAAGCTTTTTACCGACCGTCGAACTTTCTTTTTTGTTCCGATCTTTTTATTTTTTTTTAGATATTCATTTTTTTTGGTTGGTAACGAAAATCTTCTAGGAGAAAACAAACAACGTCTTTTTTATCATTCTTTAATGTGATTTCGTATAAGCTAGACGCAATATTGTATTATTTCGTCACTTTTATTTTGGGAATCTCAATTAATATAAAATACGTTTTAATCATTTATCATAAAGGAAAAAAATATAAAGGAAACATCAAAAATAAAAAATATATTTATAAATCAAAAAAAAAGAGGAATTGTTTGAATTTATCATTGGAGAGATTCGTTGCCGTCAGCCATTTTGAACACATTGATTTTTTGGAATTCTCTGATAGAATTTTATTTTCCATTTATGAATGATATCTCAAAATTATTTATTTGTTTGAATTTTTCAATAATGAATTTTCTTTAAATCTGAATTTCAATTTAATTTAATTTAAAATGATTTCTTTTGAATTTAATTGATTATTTTATTGATTTTGAATCTATTTAAGAATGAATTTAATACTTCAAATTTAAATTATAATTTTTATTTAAAATTAATTGAAATGTCATTCATTTAATTATTTTATAGTTATTGTATCCATTTCCATTTTCCATCTTTTTCCATTCCTCGAATTAAAGAATCCTTATTCTTTTAAAAAAAAGGATAAGTAATTATTTTTCTTGAATTATGTCGAATCCGAACTAAATTTTTATCATGTTTAAAAATTTAAATAAAGAAATTTATTAACCTTTTGTTTATAAAATCTGATGTTTTATTTAATTTAAAAATTAAATCTTTTCGAATATGGCTTTTCCGAACCGCCCTCTCTACTGTTAACGAAGAATTGGGACTGCGGCAGGCCGAGTAAACGGAAGACTATTTTAATTTAATTTGAATTTTGAATCATTTCTTTGCTTTGAGTTTTCCATGATTATTATTAATTGACAATCTTTGAGTAAAAGCCTGGTGGCCGTGTGTACTCTTTAGACTAATTTGACAATTAAGAATAATTTTGATTTAATTGTCAAATTTGACAGTCTCCAAAAATAGTTTGCCTGATGGCCTTGTGTATTTTTCCAGACTAATTCAACGATTAAAGAAAAAATTTATTTAATCAATTTAATTCTTTTGTCCCTTATATTATTTATTTATTTTTTTATTTTTGTCCCAAGAAAGGACTGGCGCCCAACAAACAATTTACTCGAGTCTTCCCTTTGTAACTTTGATTTAATTAATTGATTTTTTTAACATTCAGCATCATTAAAAAAAATCATTGGTTACAACATATAATCTTAAATATAGGTATTTTAATATGTAAATATATGTACCTATATTACATATGTAAATAAATAAATAAATTAATTAAATAGCAAGACATAAAATTGTATCTTTATAATTTTATGTTAATAATTCTGCAAATAGTATACAGAAATAAATATTTCAATATTATAAAAATAATCGTTTGTAGTTATTTTCAATTAAAATTTGTCCAGTTCCTAATTCCTCACACATTCTCGAAAAAGAAGATTTTTTTATTTTAATTAAATTCAATTAGTTAATAAATATTTTACTTTAAATAACTAATGTTATTATATATTAAATCCATTTTATTAATTCCTCAATTTCAATTAAGTAGGACAAATTTTATTTGTAAGAACTTTTATTTGCTTGAATTTTCATTTAACATAATAGTCATTTTGATAAATTTTAATTGAGTAGAATTTCATTGCATAGAATTTTATTTCAGATGAATTTTCATTTGAAATAAAATTCTATGCAATGAAATTCTATCCAATAAAAATTCTTTGAAATGCCTATTATGTTAAATGAAAATTCGAGCAAATAAAAATTCGAACAAATAAAAATTCTCTGAAGTGAATTTTCGGTCATTTAAAAATTCTATAATATAAAAAATCGCTTTGATGAAAATTCTGCAAAATACTAATTCGAACAAATAAAAATTCGGCTCAAAAATGAATGACTAATGAAATTCCATAAAATGAAAATTCTAACTAATGATTTTTAGAACATAATCATGCGTCCCTTTAAATTGTAAAATTATTCTGATTGTTGAAATTTTCTGGAAAATTGAAAATAGTAGTCTAATTTTAAATATCAAAATCGTTACAAGTTAAAAAAGTGAGTAATACTGGTCAATTTAAAAAAATATATATAAAACACTGATAGTCATTGGTTAGTTAAATATCATATTAAATGGCAAGCAAAAAATTGATTAATATAATCATTCCTATTGACTTTGAAATATTTGTTTTCTTATTTCTATTATTTTAAATTATAGTTTGACGTTTATTTTACATTATTTTATTATCAAGAAAATGAAAAGAAAAACATACCACATTGCCTAATGACATTGAAGTATTTTCCCGTCCTGAGAATTGTTTGTGCAAGCTCATTGAGAAAAATTGGAATTCTATCAGGCCTCATTGTATATCTCTTTTCCCAATAATCCGCTGAATAATCCATTGGAAGTTCTTCTCTTTGGATAAGTTCATTATCTTCCACAAGAAACTGAAATCGACAATAAATGACTTGACGCACTGTATTTAATATTTTTTTTTCTATAATATATTTGATATTTATTTGATAATAAATTGTAGAAGATAAGAACAAATGAAAATTCATCTAAAAGAAAATTGCATGAAAATTCGAGCAAATAAAAATTCTGACAAATAAAAATTCGAAAAAATAAAAATTTCGTGAAGTGAATTTTCAGTTATATAAAAATTCTGTAATTATAGAAAATCGGTTTAATGAAAATTCTGCAAAAATAATAATTCGAACAAAAAAAATTCGGCTCAATGAAAATTATATTGAATGAAATTCTATTAAATGAAAATTCTAACAATTGATCTTGGTTACGCGTCCCTATAAATTAATTTCTTTTTATATCAAAGAATTGGTAAAACTTACCTCTTGATATGGATCGTAAATAACACCTTTATACACCCATTTTTCCAGCATTTTCATATAAGGAACACTTGCTTCTTTTATTAAAAATAAACAAAGCTCTTTACATTTTGCGTCTCCGCTCATAGAATTTGCCTGTTCATGAAGTAAACTTAAAACTTTACCACCTCTAGCATTTGCCTAGAATAAAAGCAATTTTATTTTTTTTTAACCCTAAACTCAAATTAATTATTTAGGTACACCTAAATATAAAAATAAATTCATATACACACTTTACAAATTGTCGATGTAATTTGTGAGAGAATTGACATTGTTGCCATTGTAGGTTGAATATAGAACCACATTTTTTGTAAATTAAGTTTTCCACGTCTGTGCTCCATTTCTAATTGTACAAGGAACATCTAAAAAAATTATTTATAAACAATAAAATATCTCAAAATAAGTAAAAAAAATTGAAAAACAATTTCTCACTAACTAAATGTAAATTAATATTAATAATAAAAACAAAAATTCTAAATACCAAGTAATCTTTCAATAAACATCGCAATGCACTTCTTAAAGCATGATTCACTTGACCAGAATCTGGTAAATCTTTTTCCTCAATAAATCGAACAGTGATTGAATAATATGAGGCTAATGGTAAAATTTGTTGGGTCAATTGTCTGAATGAAATACCTAAAATTACAAAAAAAAGGATATTAATACATTTCTAGCAATAAAGTTATAAAAAAAATATAATTTTTAGAGATGATTAATAAAATAAAATTTGGTTTATGGTAAATATAATTTTTGTCCCTCTTTCTGATAATTTAAATAAATTTTTTAAAAAATTAACCCCTTACCAACATCAGGCGATATTTTAAAAACAACTGCATCATATTGACTTTTTAACGATTCTGAAACTATGTAAGTTCCATCAATTCCTTTTAAACAGTTCAAAAGATCCCAGAGTAAAACTGATTCTTGTGAAACAATGGGTACAGCCTCTGTAATTAATTTGTTGAAAATTACTAAAAATATTGGATATTTACTAATAACATTACAGTTACTTTTAATGCCAAAATGTCACACTACAATTGCAGTTAGGTGTTAATTTTTAATATTTCAAAATCAGGGTTGACACAAAAATATTATTTTGTTTTTCCCTGCATTTTCTCTGTTTTCCAGTCAAAATTAAAATTTTTTCCCAAACCCTAATGAAAATATTTCAAGAGATTTTGAATAACAGGTCACGGATTTTAAGACTTTTTTTTATTTTTCAAAATTGAATTATTAAAAAAATATATTAACTTGAATTGTTTGCAAAATCAATTATTTTCTAAAGTTTTTCAAAAAATTTCACTAATTCAAAATGAAAGTTTCAATTAATAATTTCCTGAAATTCAATTATTATTTCTAAAAATTTTAACTCGAACTCTTCTAAAATACAATTATTTCTAAATTTTGTATCTAAAATTGAAATTGTTGAATAATTTAATTTTAATAATTTTAATAAAGATTTTCGAAAATTTAATTATTTAAAATATTTTTTCAATTCAAAATTCTCCAAAACTCATTTCTAAAATTTTTAAATTCAATTTCTTTTTGAATTGAATATTTCTAATAACTTTAATCAAGTTTTTCAAAAATTCAAGTACATAAAAGGTTTTTTAAATTATTTCTTAAAATTTAATTTTTGTTTATATACTTTTTAAAAAATTTCAATATAATTCAAGTTTCTTAAAATTTTGATGTATTGAAAATTTCAAAAATTGAAAATTCAATTTTTTAAAACATTTTTTAATTGAAAATGCTCTAAAATTCTCTATAATTCAATTATTTCTAAAAAAATTTATTTAAAATTATTCGCTAAATTAATTTTTTAAATTACTTTAATATAGTTTTTCAACAATTCAGAGAAATAAAAAGTTTTTTAATTGAAACTACTCTAAAATTGTATTATTTTTTACAGTTTGTAAAAAAAAATTTATCAATTAAAATTTATAAAAGTTTCAATTTAAAATTTTCTTTAATTTAATTACTTCCAAAAAAAATTTTAACTCCAACTCTTCCAAATTCAATTAGTAATTGAATGTTAATTCAATTAAAAAATTTTTTTCCAAATTTTTATCCTAATTCTCTGTTTAATTATTTATTTAAAGTTTGATTTAAATTTTTTAAACATTCAATTATTTAAATCGTTTTTTATTTAATATTTATATTTACAACAAAATTATAATTCTTGAAATCTCAAAAAATGCAATTATTTCTAAAAATCTTAACTGTAATTCCATCAATATTCAATTATTTGGAACATATTTCAGTTGAAAATTCTCTTAAATTCAATTATTTTCTGAAATTTGTAAAAAAAATTTCATTAATTCAAATTGATAAAAGTTTCAATTGAAAATCTCCTGAAATTCAATTATTTCTAAAAAATTTTAATCAAACTCTTCCAAATTCAATTATTTTTAAAATTTTAATTAAAAATCTTCTGAAATTTAATTATTTCACAAATGTTCATTTAAAATTAATTTTTTTTTTTCAATAATATTTTAATGAAATTCTTCGAAAATTTAATTATTTAAAACATTTTCAAAAATTCTGAATTCAAATAATATACATAAATTAGACTTAAAAAAATTTCTTTTCTTTAATGAAACTTTAAATTATTTTTGAAAATTTGTTCTGAAACAGAATTGAAATCTTAAAAATTTGTCTCAGTTTAATTCGGTGGTTTAAAAAGAAAATTTTTTGAAAATATTTCTATGAAACATTCTGATACTAGATACTAGAGCTTCTACCATAATTGACCCTGATGTACCAGAATAGCCCCGATTGATTAGTAAAGAGTTTTTAAAATTAATGCCACCACTTTTAGAAATGAGAATTAAAATTCGATCAATGAATGATAAAAAACATAAAAAAAACAAATTTATGTTATTTTGTCAAGTTGAGACGTTTCGATGATTTGATTTACCATCTTCTTCAGGCTGAATATTTAAAACAATTTTCGTCATTTCGATGCGAGCATCAAGTCAAAACTTCTCATCAAAATATACAATTGGAAGGGAATTTCTCATTTATCTCTTTTAGAAATGTTTTGTAGTAAAAATTTCTTGGCTCCATTCGCATACATTTAACTTACTTTGACAAGGAACAATGGACATATCGTTGTGAAAATCCCAAGAAATCCGCGGTCTTTCAATAATCCAATTTGGTCTTGCAATTGATTGATCACTGTGTCTACTAATAGCCCCAACATGTCTGTTGAATTTTTTTTCACCTTCAACTGCCGCTTTAATAACACTTTTACGAATCTATAAACAATTCTCAATTCAAGTAAATGTATTTTATAAACATTTTTTTAATACTATACAAGGCAACATCCATGTATAGAAATAATAGTTCAATACTTATCGCATTATTTAATATTTAGAAAATTCTAAAACCTTTGATAAATCATCTTCTGTGATTGATTTTGATGAAGGTGTAGTTGTTGAGCTCAATTTTACTTTTGCTAAAGATTCTTTTAAATCCTCATCAAGAGTTATAAATTGCAAAAGTTGAGTGAAAGGTCCCAATAAATCCACCCTAAAGATATTATATTTTATTTTATAAATCTTTCATATCTAATTAATCATTAGAATTAATTTATAATAAAATTAATGATTTTATTCTTTTTAGAAAAGAGCGCACTTTCTTATTTAAACATTCTAAAAAAGAGTTTAAAAAATGAAAAATCTTACTTTTTTGATTTAAGTTCCTCATATTTTTGAAGGAACAATTCTGGATTAGGAGCATTTTTAGCAACCTGACGTATACAACTTTGTGTAATTACTGGATTCAATGTTGAAGGAGAATTTGTTGCTTCCTTGTGAATTTTTTCCACATATTTTTCTGGTGCAGCAGAAGATCTACAAAAAAATGAGCACGATTTTTTTAAATTAATTTTATATTTCACTGATGTTAGAATAAACATGTTATCAAAATGGAGCGTTGAATTACTTAAAAAATTGTTTAAATTGACTTCTAAATTCAGGGTGTCTAACAACTACTAGGAAAAAAATTCCCTGACTTTTCCCTGATCTAAATTACACTAAAAAATTTTTATTTTAATCAAATAAAATTTATTTTTATACAATTAAATCATTTACCTATCTATTATCCACTAATTTCATTTGTATTTCAACCAAATAAATAATGTTTCGTAAAAAATAAAATATTTAAGTGAAATAAATAAACTAATTGGGGGGACGTATAAATATTCTTAACATTTAATTTCAAAGAATTTTTACGATGTCAAATCTTAAATTATCAAATTTTTATTTAGTAAAATTATATAAAGCCGATTTTCTAATACATTGAATTCCAAATTAATACAATTTCAATTTAACGGAATTTATGTCAAGAAAAATTGCATAAAGAAAAATGATTGCAACAGAATTGTTATTTTAGTAAATTTAGATTTATCAAAATATTTACTTAACAGAATTGTCATTGAATATAAATCCACAATTAACAGAATTTCTATTTAACAAAATTCTTAATTAACAAAGTTTTTGTTAAAGAAAATTTTAATTCGAACTAATTCTTATTTAACAAAAATCTCATTTAAGAAAAATTCTACTTAGTTTTTTTTTTGACAATTTTTATAGACATAAATTTCGTTAAATTGAAATTATATTAATTTAAAATTTTAAAAAAGTATTAGAAAAAATGCTTTATAAGAGTTCTGCTAAATAGAAATTCTTTTAAATCGAATTTTAGTTAAATGTAAATTGAAAATTTTGCATAATATAAAATCCACTTTATACAATTTCACTAAATAGAAATTTGATAATTTAATATTCGACGCCGTAAACATTTTTATAAGTATAATGTGGGTATTAGCATTAAATAATAAATTATTCGTATTAATGAATAATTTACTTTATTTCAAGTTGAACCAATAAAATAAAATTGTATCAAATAATTTTTATTTATATTAAAAAAGCAAATATTTCACGGAAAATAACTAATTAATTGTTATCCAAGTTTAAAAAATCATTTATTAGATTCAATAAATAGTAGTAAATAATTATTTACTTAATGAATATATAAGATATATCACATGCTTAATAATTGAGTGTGAAGGCCAACTTTTTAATTTGCATTTACTTTAAGAAAAAAGGAAAATTTTTTTTGAAACTAATAGTTACTTTAATTTATTTATAAAAAATTCCAGAAAATTAAAGAAATTCCCTGACATTTCGCTGACTTCCCTGACTGTTAGACACCCTGAATTCTTTAAAATTCAATTATTTTAAACTATTTTTCAATTACAAATTTTATGAAATTCAATAATTATTATTCATAAATTAAAAAAAAAAATCCTCAAATAAAATTACCAAAAATTTCAATTCAAAATCACTTGCAGTTCAATTATTATCAAAAATATGAATTGTAAATCTTCGAAAATTTAAATAATTTTGAAAAAATGTTAGTATCTAAAATTATTTAATAAATTATTTTCAATTCTGTAAAATTTAATTATTGTCTGAAATTTAACAAAATATTTTGAAATTCAATTACTATTAAAAATTTTAACTGTAGCTCTTCCAAAATTTAATTATTTTAAATAATATTTAAAAAATATTCTTCAAAAATTCAATTTTTATTTGAAAGTATTTTTCAAATTTTTAAATTCAAAATTTTTTCTGTATTTTCTAATAAATTCTTTATTAACAAAAATCACAAAAATTTGCAATTAAAAATCACTTGAATTTCAATTATTTAAAAAAATCTGCAATTATTAAAAAAATATGTAAAAAATTTTTTTTATAACTTAATAAGTAGAACAAATAAACGTATATATAAAAGAAACTATTTTTTTATTTTCAAACCCAACTTTTAATACAATAAAAAGAAAAATCGATTTTTTGTAAATTCTCGAGTGTTGTTACCATTTAAATAATATTTTGAGAAAAAAATTATTAATCTAACATAAACAATAATTAAAAAATTTTATAATTAAAATTTCTAAAAAAATTGATAAAAATTGAAAATTTCATCGAAGTTTTGGTTTTACTTTTTTTTAAATAAATCCACTTTTAAATAAAATTGTTAATAATAATAATAATAATATTTATTTGTAACATTAGAATCATACTATTTTTTAAATAAAAAATATATTAAAATTATTGTATTTTTTTCATTTTTAGAAAAAGAAAATTATGTCAATACTGTTGAAAGTGTTATTTATTATAATTAAATTTTGTTTTTAGATTTAAAACTAAAATTTGATGATATTTTATTTATATTAATTATTAAATCTAGTTGTTTTTCTACTTACCCCAATAATTCAATTAATTCTTTAACCAAATGATGGGGTTTAAATTCACTCATTGCGATTATTTAAATTTAATTCTACATTAGACACTGTCAAATAAAAAAAAAAGTTAATAAATTAAATATTACGTTTTACATAAATTGAAAAATAATATCGTAAATAAATGAGAATTTTGAAGTTTCAAAATTTTAAGACATTTAAAAATTTTAGGTTCCTAATGATAGAGGAAACAATAAACATTATGTTTTGTTTTTCAACGACGATCAGTCCGCTACCAGAGTTGGGAATGCATTGGGTTCACAGGTAGTTCCAAAGTTCATATATTATAGGTAAAGTTGCTTTTTACAATAAAGGCTAAATAAAGTATCTTACCTACCCATCCATGTGATTTCACGTTAAGGCTGTGTTTACATGACTGCGTTCGAACGCAGCGTTTTGAATTGAACAATGAGTGTAACAAAGAGAAATACATATGTCTATCCTTCTCTCTCCCATTCTGAGATTGGCTCTTAAGCATAAGTTAGTAAAAGACAGAGATTTTAAAACGGAAACGCAATCTTAAACGAAAGACTGAGTTAGAAAAGGATAGCATATATCTTTATCCTTCTGTAACTCATTTTGCTATTTACGATTGCGTTTCCATTTAAAGGCCAGAACAGAATAGAAACGTAACCGGAATCGTAATCGCAAACGCAACATTTTATTCAATAACTTATGTTATTATGTTACATTTTTTATTAATAACGATTATTGTAAATAGATATTTAAATCATCGCGCGCCATGAAAACAATTAAGGTTGGTTTCCTTTGTCCCTACTCGACATTTGTCATAATTCTTGTCAACTACCGCACCCTGTTCTAGTGAAAATTTAGTGACTTTATTGTTAAAATTAAAAGTTACTAAATTTTCACTAGAGCAGGGTGCGATAGTTGACGAGAATTATGACAAATGGCGAGTGGGAATAGTAAAAACAAACCAAATGTCGTCAAATCGGGTCGCTTGTTTTTCCCCGTCAAATGTCGAAAAACAAAGACGTCGAACAGACAAAAATTGAATTGCCAATACGTCGAATGGACAAAATATCAAAAAACCAAAACGTTAAACGGACAAAACGTCGAAACTTTTTTCTTTAAAGTGAGTTAACTCTCTATATAGAATTTCAATAAAATGTGTTAAAATTGAGCGGGAAATTTAAAATTGTTTTTGTTTTTAAATTTCCCGCACAATTTTAATCCATTCTATTGATATCCATTTTGTCTGTTCGATATTTTGACCTTTCGGAGAAAAGCATGCGAAAAGTTTGCGAATTTGAAGCATGAGATAGAAAAGGACAGAGATGTCTTCTCTATTTAATCATTCTTCAAATTTCCCAATCCATTCTATTTTAAACTTTAAACATAAATTTTATCATATGCTACAAAATAATGAAAGATATATCTGCCATTTTTTTTATGTTTTATTTCCATTTAGAATTTTATTAAAGATAAATTTCATGTTTTTTACGATTTTACTGTGCGTTGGTCTAAATCTATTTATACGACCGTTAAATAACACAGAGACCTTCCTTTTCTCAATGACAATATTTCTAGTATTCATATTCACCGCTAGATCGTGTTACCAATTCATTCGAATTAGAGAGCGCTTTCAGCGTTTCACTATATATGTATATAGTTTCTCCCATATCCATTCACTGTAGAGAGTGAAAAAAAAATTTGCCTTTTAAAATATCAAATTGTCTCTTTAATAAAAAACACAAAAGTGAGAAGTGCCATATATTGATAATCGAAAAAAACATAAAGCGCCGGTAGACAAATACTCTATATCTATGTCTATCTGTGTGTAATTAGTCGCATTAATTTCCCGATAGAGAGAGCTAAATACACACGTTTAGAATTTGCCGACCGCTTTTGCAGGCGCTCTGCGCTCGTGCCGCCATTTTGATGTTCACGTCAAGCGCTCGTTTCTTGTGGTGGACAACGCGCTACACCAGTTCGAGAAGCGTTCCGCGTGCCCGCGTTCGTCTTCAATTCAAAAGAAAAATTGTGTAAATCTTTGATCCTTATTCAAAAGGTGTGCGTGTGTGTATGTGTGTCTGTGATTAGAGATTTTCGAGAGGCAATCGACCCCCCGAGTGTGCGGCTCAGTGGCCTCACTCTCTCGCTGACAAGTGACAGGTGAATCGATCGCGTTCTATCGTTTTGCGGACTGTGTGTGTGCGGTGTGTGCTTCGACTCTCTAGTTTGCAATTCATTTTTTTGCCACCCTGTGCAAAATAAATGCCGTCTTTTCTATAGTGACCCTCTGCGTCCTCGACTATTCTCTCTCTCTCTCTCTCTCTTCCTTCATTTCCTCACGCAGTTTTCTCTCCCGCCGCAACCCATCCCACCCCCTCCCTCTCTCTCTTTCCCTTGCAACCCTGCCACAGTCAGTTACGTTCGGTTAAATCAGCGAGCCAAAGAGCAAGTGTGAATTCTCAATTTCGGGACCACGCGGTCCCGGAAAAACGGCTAGAAACTCACCCTCCCACCTCTCAGCCGTGTAACAACATTGACGAGAGTGTTTAACCTCGATGTCGACGTCCCTTAACCTCCTGCCGACCCCGTGTCGTTTACAGGAAGAAGCGGGCATATCGCCACTTAAATGCGATCCCATGTGCCACTACGTCCCCGGCCTCTAAACCCGCCGATTGACCTAGAAGTCCCACCCTGGCCCGGGAACATGGCCAAGTTCCTTAACAAGGATCCCGTCACCTATGAGCGCGAGCGAGAAAGCTTCATCAAGGAACTCCACCATTTTCACGAAACTCGAGGGTAAGTCCATTTGATTTTTTTTTTCCCTCTATATTCATCCATTTTTTTTTCTTCACCCTTTTAAAATTCATTTGCTAAAATAAAAAAATGTATCCTTTGTCATTTTCTTTTTTTTTTTTTTCATCTCCCCTCCCATTTCAATTGTCGAATCGACATTGTTGAGGCGTCGGTTGTTTGTCGGTATCGATTTTGAGGTTAGGTTTGTACAACGGACGATTGTCGTTATAGTTGCAGAGCGTCGCGAGGCAAAGCCACTTTGTTTTTGTTTACTCATGTTCATATCAACGACAACGACGCTTATTGAAAACTTTTATGATTATTTAATAAAATTATGCATTATTTATTTTTTTTTTTTTTTTGGAAATTTCTCGAGAATATATGTTACACGTTTTTTTTTTTTCATTCCTTTTTTTGAAAGGGGGAAATTGGAACAAGAAAATGGCTGCACAGTTCTTGAACGAGAAGTTTCGCTGTCAATTTCTTGTTTCTTTATGGAAAAAAGAGAAATAATTTTATAATTCTATTTTAATTTTCTGATGAATTGTCTTTTTTAAATTAATTTATATTTTTTTAATTATCGAAATGTTACAATTTATATCGTAAATTTAAAAAATGATTTTTGAATATCAAATTTTTGCAAAAATAGGTATTTGCAAACTTTCGATTTTTTTTTTTTAAATTAGAAATTATAAATTTAACAAATAATTCTTGTATAAAAAAATATGTTTTGCCAAATTATTATAAATATCGACATTTTTTTTTTTTAAATTAGAAATTCTTGTAAAGTTAAATAATTTTTGAATACAAAAATATTTTCGTGAAATTTTATAAATATACCAATTTTTTAATTTTCTAAATTAGAAATATTAGAAATAAATTATTTTTAAATAAAAAATTTACGATTTTCGCAAAATAGAAAAAAAATTTGCTTCTTTAAAATTAGAAATTGTAAAAAAAAAATTTTTGCATTTTTAAAATTATAGAAATTTTGAAATTTAACAAATGATTTATATATATATATATATATATATATATATATATATATATATAAATGTCAAATTATCGAAATTGTAAATTTAAAAAATATACAAACTTTTGCTTCTTTTAAAATTACAAATTTTAATCATTATTTTAAATTTATTTAGAAATTGTAATTTTAAAAAATAATTTTTTTATGTAAAATATTTACAATTTTTGATGAAATAATATAAATATAGAAAATTTTGCTGTTTTTAAATTAGGAAAAAGATATTATTTAAATTTAATATAATTATTTTTAAAAATTTTTTTAAAAAACATAATATACTATTTATTTCTAAATACATATAAAATTTAATTTCAGTTAATATTCTTATTTGTAATTTTCGTATAATTTTGCATATTTTCTTATTGAATAAATTAATAAATTTTTTTTTTATTTTTCCAGAACGGCTTTCAAGAGATATCCTAAAATTAGTGGAAAGGAAGTGGATTTGTATTTACTTTACGTCCTTGTTACTGCTCATGGAGGTTGGATTAAGGTAAGTTTTTCTTTTTTTAAACAGAATAATTAATATTTTATTTATTTTATTCTTATTAAAAAATATTATATACATTTAACCGTTTTGGAAATACGCAAATAAATATTTATTTGATTCAAATAAACGGTTATTTAACTATTATCAAATAAATATTTATTTGCGTATTAAATAATTATTATTTCAGGCCTCGGATTACTTTTTTTCATTTTTTTTTTTTTACAAAATTTTTATTTATTTATTTTTTACAAAGGTAAACCCGCATGAGCCAAACGTTTTGAACGTTCAAATGAACAAAATATTTTTTTCAATCTATAAATTATTAGAAATTATAATGTCAATGTAAAATAAAACAGTAAATTAAACAAATATTAAATTAATAACTTCTTTTTAGATATTTAAAACAATATTTTGTAATAAAATTCGTACTTAAAGAAGTTACAAAAAAAATTTTGTTCATTTGAACGTTCAAAACTTTTGGCTCAGAAACCCGCGGTCCTATTGGGCCATTTGTGGGAAATCATTTCTAAAGTGGGTCTGAATAAAGTTCAACCCAAAAGTGCTTGCGTATCAAAATTTCTTTCTGATTTCTTTTCTAGGATGTCTTCTGATAACTTTGAGCCGAAAGAAGAAAAAATCGCTTGTGCCCTTTTTGAAAAAACTCATTTTTTCGATATTTTGAAAATATCACTAAACATATTTTTTAAGAAAATGGATAATAGTAAGGTTATTAAAGTTTTAAATCATTTAAATTCACATAAATGAAAAGTCCCTAGGTGCTGAATTCCTTGCAACAAATAAAATCCACACAAAAAAACTTGAAAAACCGTGTAAAATGTGTTAAAAAGTCAGTTTTTTGAAAATTACTCTCTTCCATTGCATTTTAACCAGTTAAAGACCTATACGTAGATTACTCTCTTATAAAATTTTCTGTAAATTAAAAAAAAATTGATCGAATTATCTTTAAAACTGTTGGAGTTATGATCTGCAGAGTGCGAAAAATTTCCAAACAAAAAATAATAATTTCAGATTTTGTGAAATAACTAGTTTCCAGTAAATCTAAAAATACTTCCACTTTGAAACAATTAAAGTTGACATAATTTTGAGGAAATCAAAAAAAATAGTCTTCCAGCTTAATTAGAACCGAAGTTATGACCGTCTGAAAATTACTCTCTTTCGTTTTATTAATTTTTATTTCTATAAGATCAACTATTTTAAATTTGATTAATTTGGACATAAAAATTATTAAGTTTTTGTTAAGATTGTTTAAAAGTTGTTTGTTGATAATAATAATATATTTCTTATTTTCTAATTTGATTAACTTAATATTACTGATTTTATAACTAATATTGTCCAAATTAATCAAATTTAAAATAGTTGATCTTATAGAAATAAAAATTAATAAAACGAAAGAGAGTAATTTTCAGACGGTCATAACTTCGGTTCTAATTAAGCTGGAAGACTATTTTTTTTGATTTCCTCAAAATTATGTCAACTTTAATTGTTTCAAAGTGGAAGTATTTTTAGATTTACTGGAAACTAGTTATTTCACAAAATCTGAAATTATTATTTTTTGTTTGGAAATTTTTCGCACTCTGCAGATCATAACTCCAACAGTTTTAAAGATAATTCGATCAATTTTTTTTTAATTTACAGAAAATTTTATTATCTTTAATTTACGTATAGGTCTTTAACTGGTTAAAATGCAATGGAAGAGAGTAATTTTCAAAAAACTGACTTTTTAACACATTTTACATGGTTTTTCAAGTTTTTTTTTGAGGATTTTATTTGTTGCAAGGAATTCAGTACCTAGGGACTTTTCATTTATGTTAATTTAAATGATTTAAAACTTTAATAACCTTCCATTTTCTTAAAAAAAAAATATGTTTAGTGATATTTTCAAAATATCGAAAAAATGAGTTTTTTCAAAAAGGGCCCAAGCGATTTTTTTCTTTTTTGGGCTCAAAGTTATCAGGAGACACCCTAGAAAAGAAATCAGGAAGAAATTTTGATACGCAAGCACTTTTGGGTTGAACTTTATTCAGACCCACCGTAACCAGTACAGTAGATTGATAATGTTATAAGGTCGTATGTATGTTTTCGTGTACGAATAGAAACAAAAAAAAAACGATGACATAAATTGTATTGTCTAGTACTTATCTTAGACTAAGAATATATGTATTAATCGACTGTTTTAAGGAAAGAAGAAATGTTACAGAAAAAGAAATCGAAATCATTGTTGAGATTATGATATATTTGATTCAAATGATGGTACGGTAAATAAATTGGGTCCATAAAAAGTTTTGAGGTACGTAGCATTGGTCCATGAAAAGGCACATATGATCTTGATGATAGTGGTGGTATTCTAAAATTTACTTGAATTAAGAGATACGGACAATCAAATTCCGATGTTATGATTTTAAATTAAAAAAAAAAAAAAAAAAAAAAAAAACTAAGACCAACATAATTCGTCTTTCTGCCAGAGTGAAAAAGTTAAATCGTCGACATAATTGTAAGTAGTCAGAGCCACGCTGTGGATATACGCAATCCACCTTAAATGCTAAATACTTAAAAAAAAAAAACGCTTTTGGATATAATCAATGTCGTCAGAATGATTATCAAAATAAGGATTCCAAATTTCATTTGCATATTCGACTTTTGAACGAACTAAAGAGTAGAACAGCATGATTAAAGTGTTCGAGTTTGTAAAATCACGAGTAGCACGAAATAAGAAGCCCAAAGCCCAATACTTTTTTTTTTTTATTATACAATACAGGTCTTTTTTTTTTATTTCAATTAATTAACAAATTTTTAATTAAAATTATTCTCTAAATTAATTATTTTCAATAATTTTAATGAAATTCTTTATAAATTCAATTATTTTATTTATTTATTTATTTTACAACTTAAACGGGATACAATTAACAGGATTTCTACAAATCATGTAAATCTCATGGAATTTCTGATCATATCATGAAATTTTTTCAATTCCATGATTTAAGACCCGAATATACACGTTCGTTGAAAATGACGTATTTTAATTCGTCATAATTATCAGAATTCTAAATTGAACTCTTAGACTAATTAGTCTTAAACTAATTGAAAATTATTTGATAAATTATTTTCAATTCGGTAAAATTTTACAAAATTTTTTGAAATTCAATTATTTCTAAAATTTTCATCTTTAACTCTTTCAAAATTTAATTATTATTTTTAATAATTTTAATATTTCATTAAAAATTCATTTATTTAAGGATGTTTATCCAAGGAAATGCAGATCTCTAGGAAAAAAATAATTAAATTAACTAATTAAAAAAATCGAAATTTTTCTTTTAAACAAATAGTCATATTTTCCAAACAAGCTTATGCTTGTTTAAAAATCCCCACGGTGATGTTGTAGAGAATCATTTTCTAAAGAAAATAAGCCATATTACATTGAAATCGAATCATTTTTAAAAAATTCTGTAGAAGCGATATAACAAAAAAAAAAAAAATTACCCCATGCAAATTATATGAACAAATAAATTTTGTAGGTTTTAAATTTTTTTTCTTGAAAATTGATATCTCATCTTTCAGAAAGTGTAATTAACAATATTACCATTTTAATTATTTAAATGTTAATTAATTATTTTTTCCTATAGGTCTACATTTCCGTGGATAAACGTCTTTAAAAAAAGTTTCAACTATTTTCCGGATTTTTTTTGTTGACCGTTAAAACTAAAAATTATGCAAAAATTTTTAATTCAAATTAGTTGCTTTAATCGGACTTTAAAAAATTTTTCAAATAGAATAATTAAAAAAAAAAAATTTCTAGAAATTTGTCCTATTTAATTAAAATTTTGAAAATTTGTCTTAGTTCGGTTTTTATAATATTCGAAATAAATTTTTTTGATAATATTCCTGTAGAATTATTCTTATTAAGGAATAAAAAAATAAATTAAATAATATACAATAACATTAGATATTTAAAGTAAAATATTTATTAACTAATTAAATTTAATTAAATTAAAAATACGACTTTTTCGACTTGTTTTGCAATGTAAATTATTATTATTATTATTATTATTATTATTTTCAACAACATAAAAATTCTAAATAAAACTGAAAAATACAAAAAATGATTTGTTTTGAAAATTTATTTATTTATTTCAATATTTTACGGACAAGTAAAATTGTCCTTAACAAAAAAAACCTTAAAAACTAACAGAAAGACTCGGATTGTAAACTAGAATTTTGTCTGTAGAATTTATTATTTGAATTATTCTTTTAATACGTTTAACTTTATTTTATTACTTTACTATTAATTAATTTTCAGAAAATTGTAAAAAAAAACGAAAAAAAAAATTATTAAAACCTGGGCTGATAAAAGCCATATTTTTTTTTTTTAATATAAAAAATTCAATTTTTTTATTTACATAAAATTTTTCAATTGTTTGCTTCTAAGTAGTTTGTTTTTTCAATAAATATTTAAACGACAAATTTAGTAATAATAATAATAATAAAAATAATAAATTAATATTTTTGTCAAGAAAATAGAAACTTTTTTATTATTCAGTTATAATTTTTACAATGTCACTTTTACTCTGAAAAAAACTTTTACAGTCTATAAAATCTAAATTAGTAAATACTTTTTAACTAAAATTCAATTAGTGACTGACATTCTGCTATCTATAAAAAATAATTTGTAAAAATGAATTTTATTGTTTAAAATAATGCAATCTTGGCATTATATAAGTTATTTTTTCTATAATTGTTTTAAATTTTGATTTTACAATATATTTTATTCTTTTGATTTCGAAATTTTTATTTTTAAATAATTTCATTGATTAAGTTTGTAACGAAGTTAAGATTGGTGAAAATTTATTTTTTTTTTTCATCACCAGTTTAAAAATGTTTTTTTTTTTATTGCTATTTGGTTATTTGATATAAAAAAGTAATTTATTTTTTTTCAAATAATTCTTTTTCTATTTATTTTATTAGTTGTTAAAGTTATAAAAATTTTT